TTTCTTTTGAGATTCATTCGCACCCCCAGCCCGATAGTACAACTCATCGACGTTGTGGTCAGAGTAACCTATCGGCTGCTCACATGGGTTCTCAGGTATAACGCGTTCGTTTGTCGGACGCGTTTTCTTCTGAGTAATCATTGCCTTGTTGGCTTTTACAGGAGTCTCACGTTTGAGATCACACCTTTGTGAGGGTGAAACCTTAACGGGCTCCTGATTTTTTGAGTGCATCGCCAAGCGGGTCGTCACAGCAGTCAATTTGCTAGGAGGTCGTGTACGACCCCCAGTCTGGATGTTGGCTCGAAGCTCCTTCAACGATCCCCAGCTTTCCTTGACAAACGTTTTTCCTCGGTTCTCGAGTAGAGCACCGATACAGTTGTTCAGAGGATTCCTAAACTTGGGGACATCCACGCTGCGGTGGGGCTTTTCCAGAGGTTCGGGATCTGAAATTGATGAAGGTTGGAGAGCAATATTACCTGCTTTTACCTTAGGCGTTGATTTGGCCTTCGGCATCCAAACTCGTTCGGATCTCGGCGATCTCTTAACGGCCTCTCCCTTTAGCATTTCTCGTGCTTTTTGGACCAGGGCTCGGGCATGCGCACGCAAGGCGCGGCGCTTCTGGATTCGCTCCTCGAGAGTAGAACGGGTTCTTTTGACATGAACCCATTTGTTTGTTTCTGCTTCGGAGGAGGGGCTGGTTGTTTGCCGTGGTTGCTCCTGGCGTTGCCTGGATTTTAGATCTACGTTATAGCGGATCCCATCCATCGGCTCCAAAGCCTCGGCCAGCTGTCGAGCAAGACGTTGACGCTGTCTTTGTCGTGCTCTCTTTGATAATGCCGGAGCGTCTTCAGAAGCCATCTCCTCGGCGGAAGAGGAGTCCGGATCTGCGATCTCGACCACATTGGACGACGCGGGGACGTCACGTGGTGCAAGTGCAGAGGCGGCAACGGGGTCTTGGATTTTTGAACCGAAGGACCTGCAATCATTTATGAAAGAGGTTACCTTTCTGTACCCGTTTGGAGAGGCGGATCTGGAGGAGGAGGAAGAGAGGCCTTCTTTGAACCGTTGTTGATCGAGCTCGTGTTCTTCATTCACCCCGATCTTGAGTGCTGGTTGCGTCACGACGGCGTCGGTTGCGATGCCGTTGGCTCCCACTGTGGTCGCCAGTCTGTTTGCGGAAAAAGTTGCTGTATTCATTGCTGCATTCATTACAACTTCAATCGTTACAATGAAATAAAAAGATAGCCTTTTTATAAGACCGGTACACAATGAAAACAAAATAGATACAACTCTTTTCAAACAAACGCAAGATCTGTTTGTCATCTCTTGCTTGCGTGGGTCTTTTGCCTGTGACGGGGATGTTGATATCCGTGGACCACCGGGGCACTCAGATCTGGTCCGAGAAAATCGGGCAGAGTTTCGTCTATCCGCGGGGGATTTTAGAAACTCTGAACTTCGTTGATCTGTGTGAGATCTAGAAGTTTACAGCTCCCTCGGCCATGGCCGAGACACCCTTGGGGGGTCTCGGCCTGGCCGAGACACCCCTGGGGGTGTCTAGGCTTTTCCTAGACACCCCCCGGGTGTTTCGACCTCCCGAGACTTTATTTGAGGTGTTTGAGTTGTTTTCCCCGTAGATTCTTCGTCCGAACTCAGATTTGAGTGATTCCGAGTGCGTTGGATGCTCGACGAAGAATTTGATCCGCTCTGGTGGTTGGATTATCTGTAGAGTGGTCGAGGCACGAGGGGCGTTGTCCTTTTTGTGAACAGTGCCGGGTTCCCGATTGGTCCGGGTCTTGGTTGTTCCGAAATCATGTAAGCTCACGTAGCTCGCCGACTCACTTCAGTCGTTCATCGACGTCAATTGGGCTCCTGTGGATCGGATGGTGACGTTCATCGTCGCTCTTTAACACTGAACCGTTTGTGGAGACCTATAGGCAATTTTCGATGCCTACAGTAGTGAACCCCAATGACTTCTTTCTCTCTCGAAGCTCGAGTTGTGTGGCTTGCAGAAAACCCAAACATTGAGGGACATTCTTTCATTAGCTTTGATATCAGAGTCCCCTTGCCGACTCCTGAGGGGCCACTGATTACAATTAGATTTAGACCACTACCTTTGACTCCCTTACTCCAAGCTACCACTTCTGTTCCAAGTAGCATATTTTGCTCTTTTATGAGGGGTTTGTCGACCTACCAAATAGTCTCACGGTAAGATTCAGGTACATCATGGCTATAAACTTTTAAATAGCCAAAGACTTTGATAAAAACTATTTGATTGAATTGGAACTACCATCAAATTACATTTTCTACGAAATATACTAACATACTGTTGTATTGCCGAAATAAATTTTCTACGAATTATGCTAACATAATGTTGTATTGCTGATGACTAGCTGCCAATGATTTAATATAAATTACACAGGTATTTGTCGAATTCATGTATTTGGCCAATCCACTTGATCTGTCTTCACCATATTCCTTCACCATATTCAACAGTAACCTCTAAGGATGTTCAAATATACTACAAACTCCACCATCCTCTATGTAAATCTGTTGAAATTCTTATGTTGTTTTCTAATGATATGTCATTATACAAATCATATCAAGCAATTAACTATAAACTGTCAATTTCATAAAGTCTGAAATACAAGATGAAAACAATATGAAGATTACAAACCTCAAGAAACCAGGTGCAATCATCAAGAGGAGACCCCCCCCCGTAAGGATCAAGATCTGATTTTTTTTATAAGAACAGCTGAGTGACCTTCAGATGAAATGGGCTTGGTACCCAATAGAGTAGGAAAAAACCTGTCAATTCCATGAAAATTTTAATAATCAAACACTATATGCTAAGACAGCAAAGGAGCAAGAATTAGTTGAGAATGAATCTCACCAGTTTCCTGTCAACTTATCAAAAATTTTGACACCAATCTCTGAGCCAGCATATTCCTCTGATCCTCCAATTACATATTGAACAATTAAAGTAGACACAATTAGATCTTACAAGATATTTACCACATAATGCAACAAAACTATAGAAAGATGTCAATCACATGAACTTACGATCTTATCACCGACATTGGTGGAAGTCTGATAGCCTTGGGTCTCTGAATCATACCCAACAACTTGAAATTTATCTGTGTTCCCTATGAGATACTGTTGAGCCTCTTCCCCATATTCATAATATATTCAGGAAAACACCTTAGTATAAACTCAGTCATCATATTTCTCACAACGATACAACTACGTATATTTCTCAATGATCAAACTCACCATAAAGCAGTAAACTTTTTGTAGTCAAAGTTCCAAACTCGTGACAAGAGAAAATAGAGAAAAGCGCAATTAACACAAAGAATAAAAGCAGTAAACACAAGAACTATAAGAGAAACACAACAAATATGCCACCCCTAATTTGAGCAGTTTCATGAAATCCATATACCAAATCAATTAGCATAATCAGTAAATATACAAAATTTGCAACCCATGATCCAATGCAAATAGTTGAAATGCCTCCAATCTAGATCTAATGCAAATTAATATGCACAAGATCAAACTTTTTCAATACCAATGAATAACCCACGTCAAAAACAAAGATTGTCATTTAAAACAACTAAAACCCAATATAAATCTAAAACCCAACACAACGTTTTCATGAAAAAAAACATGATAGGACCCCAACAAAGATTCAATTTTGACAACAGAAAACAGAATATCAAAGAGAAACCCACCTCAATCCTCTCGAGAACTCTTGGGGACCTAACATAAAATAGAATAGCAAAGATTCAATTTCTGAGGTTTTTATTCTCTTATAAAAACTTTCCTCAATTTGTTCGCTTCCTAATCCTTCCCGATGCCTAAAATATGATATTTGAGGAGAAGATGGTAGAGAATGTTTGCGGATGATGAGGATAATAATAAGCTTCTTGATGACAATAATAATCCTCTTTACAATTTGATAACCGACAATTGATGAGGTAGAGAGAGTGAGATTGTGTTGCCAGAGGAAATTCGTAACAGATGGAATGGAGAAGGAAAGTAACGAGAATTTAGGTCTTTACATCTTCTAATTTGTTAGTAACGAAAAAAAAGTAACGTTGTTAAATTAATGAAATGAAAGATGAGGATAATTTTGTTATATTTATAATAGTTAAAGGGTAATTTGGAAAGTTTTTCTAGTATTCCCTCTTTTAAATGGTAGGTAGATAGATGATTAGATTTAACAAATTTTTTGATAATTAGACCTGATTTTCGGGCCGGAACATAGTGCAAGCAGATGCGCATGCGTTTATTATCGGGCCATAACTAAGCCTACAATGTTCTTTGGGCTTTATCTAAGATAGGATAATTACGGCTTCAAATGTTTATTTTACCCCCACAGTTTTCACTTTAGACACTGTCAACTCTTTATCCTCAACTAAGTGGCCAATTGTCTTTTTCTTTTTTTGATAGAAAGCCTATTGTTTTTAAAATGACACGTTGGTATCCTCTATTAGCTAGTTGTGAGAATATTAAGAATTCCACATGAGTTTCACATACTAATTTGACATTTATACCTTTATTTATTTGTCAATACCAGTCAACATAATTAAACCTAGCCCAACCAGTGATGAAAGTGACATGTTCACAAAATATTTTTTCCCTTTTCACTGAAGACATTATGGTATTAACATCGACATTTGACGTCAACTAGGTATTATTTCATATATAAAAAAAAAACCGTATATTGATACCATAACATTCCCAGTCAGAGAAACAAAATACCATATTGTAAATAGGGTCTTATTAAAAATACCAATTTGGTAATTTTGCCTTGGTATTTTGCATCCAAAAATTTAACATCGCTGAGGATTTTAACGGAAGACATCTTAGCTTATGTGCGGTAAAAAAAACAAGTGAGGATATGCAAGTGCAAATTGGGGAATATATTACGGCAATTAAGTGCTAAGTAGCCTTTAAGATTGGCCCATTTGCACACTTTTAAACTAGAAACCAGGCCCGCTTCAGTTTCCATTGCGAAGAGCGTGCTTTCTTAAAATCTCTCCCCCTCTCTTCCCGAAATCAATGGCAGCATCATTTCTTCAAAAACTCCTGTAAAAAAACCCTTGACCTCTCCTCCATTTAGACTCCTCACATCCCTCAACAAAACCCATCTCTCAAATCCCCCAATTTGCCCATTCCTTCACCAAAACCCTGACTCAAACCCAAATCCAGAGCCCCGAAACACTTTACCCATCTTTTCCCCATTGCTTTATACCCTGGACCCAATTTCTCTTCATGGGCTCGGCCTATTCGACGCAGATATGGGCTCCGATGACGGCCATGGTGATGGCGGAGGTCCGGCAATGTGGGCTGATAGTGCGAAGAAGAGGAAGAGGAAGATGAACAAAAAGAAGCTGAGGAAGCGTCTCAGGCGCAAAGCTTGATCTCATTTAGGTGACGTCTCTCTCTCGCTGTGTCATCTTATTTGTTGAATGCTTTGGTTATTGTTATTGGGTTTTGCTGCTTTCCTTCACCAAATTGTATTGATGGTGAAAGTCAACCTTTCTTGATTTTGTCAGGTTGTTGTTTAGCCCTGTTGATTTCATTTGATTGTATTGGGTTGTTTCTTGTGGTGAGTGATATTTGAAGCTAAAATACCAAAAGTGGGTACCTTGCAACGAAAATTATGCACATTGCGATGCTCATAAACTTGGTGAAGTTAACTCCCACGTGTATGCTTGACAACTTTGGGGCACGTTGTAGGATGATTATCTGCATATAGCTAGTAGCCTTCTTGATTTTTGCATTGTTCTTCGACCATCTCTCTCTCTCCCCGCGAAGTTGTGATGTGGATTGAGGGTTATAATTTTGTACTCTTAAAAGTCATCTAATGAACTAATAGACACGTTCCTCTGGCATTTTAATTGTTTGGTTATTGGAGTTAGCTAAGAGGGTAGGATTCAGACTGATGGGCTGTTGGTCATCCGAACAATTTTGTTAAATTTGTTTGTTTAAATAGTCTTCTCAATATGAATACCGTAGGGCCTTATTTTCAAGGGAAAACCCCTATTGATGAACCATTAAGATCTTAGCCTAACTGATCGAGCTCCCAAGTGATGTCATTCTACTAGATTTGGACTTGCTTAATCCATTTCAGATTTCCAAATCAACAATTGACCTTTTAACACTAGTGGTAACAGCATAGTTATTCATGGAAATCATGCTTACCCTTAATCAAAAATGTACTGCATCCATCAACTTGTTGACCTTATACCACATACTACTTCAGGAAATGTTGACAATCTTGGTACAATTCTTCGAACTGGTAGATACTTATCGGTCAAAATTTGTCACAAGCCGGTAGGAAGCAGAATGACTGCCAATCTTAAAAGATTTTGTCCGACCTTCTCTGGACTCTTCTCAGTGTAATTCTGCAAACAATGGAGGACTTTCTCCTCAAAGAGGAACCCTAAATGGTTATGCATTTGAATTTAAGCCTTACTGTTCAATCTATCTTCTGATGCTGATCCAGTAGATGTTGGCTTGCCTAATCATGATAGTATTGTTAAGTCAAATTATTAGGCCTTTTGAAGGTTACTGATAAGAACAGTGTTCCGTGTAGAAGGTACGTAATCTTTAGGTCTGATTGTTCTATAAAAGTTGGATGCTTCGACTTTAACCTTTTAATGATGTTCTTTGCATCATGACGATTATGTTTGTGTTGGCCATAATATACACAATCATGATCATACACATCCCTATTCTTGTAACTGAGATACGGTTATGCTAGTGCAATAGCCCTGATGGGTTCCACATGGACAAGTGTGATGCTACTACATTACTATGTCGGTTTGAAGATGATTTTCTATTTAGAACTTCCCAAAGGGGTCACTATCCGAAGGTCTAGATAAGCATACAATCATCCTTGAGTGCAGGGATTTTGCTTATTTTATTCCTTTGTGTTTATCCTTGTGACGGTATACTTACCTGTATAACTTGATTTCTTCTGATTTTTTTTCTCCCCACCCCCACCCCACACTCATTCCAAATGCCTCATGTTGGAAATCATGCAATACGCTCTTTAGGCATGTTGATTTATAAACTTATTAGGTAGTTGCCAAAAACATCAATAAGATGACATCTCATCCCTCTTTTTTCATTTTAACCTTTTCGTTTAAAGACCAACTTCTACAAATAAACTTTGGTGCAAACCAACAATTCGATCTAGAAATGGACACAGGGAATCTGTATATAATAATATAAATGATATCAATTGCATATAACACAAGGATCCTAAGTCAGAGCATGCTACTTCTTTGCAAAAATGCACACGCACATGTCAAGTAGGTCAAATCAATGTTGATACGTTTAAAGCTAAGCAATCATGTATTGGCTAAAAGGGAACTATTTTGACTTCAAGTTGTTTTAGTTTATGGTCATCTACAGTTGTTATTTTATGTTAACATGCTTGTGCCTTGCTATCTGATTCAGCCTGTAGCCTAGCTAACTAGATAACCATGTACTTTATCTTGTTTTGCTGTTATTGCTTCAAGTGCCCATGCATCTTAAAAACGCTTATTTGGTGCAACTGCAAACTCATGGACTTAGAAGCTGAAAATTTATGCAGAAAGAAGTTCATTTGTGAAATATATATGTTTAGAACTGGTACTCACATTGCTATTGCCTGACTCATCGAAATCGGGCTCTTTTGTCAGTATTAGTGAATTTGTCCAAGATTATGCTCAAAGATTTGAGAGCACGGGAAATGTGAATTGAAATAACATAGGAAAGTATCTACTTTAGACCTGTGGGATCATAAATGGACAGACACATAGTAAAGAATTAATGGTACAGGGACAATGTTTGGATTTGACTAGAAGGATGTTCATATTTACATTAATAAAGCTTGGCTTTCATCACATGGATGAGGGACTGCCCACTTATTGTTAACTAAATAATTTTGTTTTTTGTCTTAGAGTTCATTAATTAAAAATAAATTTATTTGCTGGCATCCCTCCCTCCCTTGAGGGTGTTGATAGCAAATTGTTGATTTGTTTAGTCCTTTTGCAACTTTTATAAATATAACACCAAATAACTTTGTGCTTTTATAAACTTAATAGATAAATAACTAATCATCAACAGTTCACAATAAAAAGGAAATTAGTTCCTCATGATTGCACTTCAATGAAATGAGTAAAATTTGATTTTACGAAGTTATCTCTGTTGATTACCCATATCAACCTATAACTTAAAAATTAATTTACTAAACAGGACATGATTATCTCATGACAGTACAAAAGGACAAGAATGAACTGATTTAGTTGCTATAGTTTCAATTTTTTTAAAGATTATATCTTAAGATTAGGATATAAATAACTTTGATTATTAGAATAGGTATTAAATTTTTCTTTGACCTTTTCTTGAAACCAGAGAAGGTAACATCATACTTAATCTGAATTGATCTATATTCATATTGTTAAAATTTTCATGATATTATCTAATAACGTCAAACTTGATGTTCAAAATATTACAAGGAGATAATATTACAACAATCTTCTTGAATAATGTGATATTCCTTTCTGTTACAGCTTATGATTGAATTCCTAAGAAGTTTGGGATGACTCTGTTGAAGAGCCGTTTGAAAATATTCCTGAAGTGGATACTTCACATCAAGCTGCATGTTTTTTCTTATGTAATGGATAGCACTAGAGAGAGTTCATGGATAGCAATCACTTTATTATTATTTTTTTTGATATGATACTTGTTAATTAGGGGCCTATTCACTTAGAATTATTACGTAGGACATGCTGTTCATTCATCTAATGGTGTAATGAATAAATCATGCAAGATTTCTGTTCATCTTCTCTTTGAAGTTGAAGTTGTGGTCAAGTTGAATGCTGATGTGATATTCAATTAGTTATCAGGTGATAGCCACAAGTGCTGTTGTATAGCTGAGTGGCAGCGGAGGCTCCCTCCATGTGATGATAGGCCCCTCTTGTTGGTGAAAATAATTCTAAGCTGAGTACTCCACAGAAAAATCACAGATATAGAAGTTCATAAGAAAATACATGTGTTTCGAGTCAGTTTTAAATTGATGCAAATAGTATGTATAATCAGTGCGAACATTTTACACGAATCAGATACAATCACTGAAGAAATGATATAGGAACACCCACCGTGGGTGACCAGGATGGTTAGAAGTTCCAATATAGCTCTTGGAGCGTGGATCTCGATTCCAAGTTGGGTTATACAAAAAAGAAAAGAAAAAGAAAAGGAAAGATATTGGAACATGTATTGCTTTGTCCTAGTCTATGATATTGTGACACATACTGCCTAATAAATTCTTCCGAAACTTAATTTGTTGTTTGAACACAGGAGACTGGCATGAAGATAAGAGTACTATAGTCCCTGATTAACGTAGACGATCTTCGAGATTTGGGTTCCTACAGCGAAACTCTAAAATCATTTGACTCTGATCACTCTGCATTCTGATAGAATTTGTACTTTTTTGATGGTCGACTGGATCATATTGCAGCTGATATCTTGTTCTTTCTTTTCTTGTCTCAACATATAAAAAATTATTACTCAATTCTTTTGCTCAAACTTAAGACAAAGAAGTGACGGGTTGTGCGGTTGGGAACATGTATCTCTGAGTTCGGGATCATTTTTCTACGGAAGAATGAATATGCGGAAACTAGTATGCCTTGAGTACCTGGATTGTGAATGTTTTGTTTTCAATTTTCCAATCTCCATCTCACCTCTCTACGTGCTTTTGCTTGTGCATGTGAGCCCTTTACAGCATCAAGAACCCTCACATGTCCTTGAGCTCTCCCTATATCTGGAAGTCAAAAAAGGCAGGAGTATCATTTCTAGCTTTTCTTGCCAAAATTGATGTACCTCTCTGTTTCTTTAATGCATCTCTCTTGAAATAATTCAAGTGCTCCTCACATGTTTCAGCATTATTTCTTTCCTGTGCTCGCACCCCTACGCTTTGGAAAGCTAAGAGTGGGAGGGACTTCTTTGGAGCAGCAGCAGCCTCTACTTTTAAGTTGTGGACTCCAATTTTTTCTCCTTGTTTCATAAAGGATTGGAATCTGTGAAGTGCGACGTTTCTCCTAACGATGTTAGCCAGCTGGCTCTTAGGCCCCTCACAAGTGAGGATACCGTGGATCATGCAGAGCACAAATCACAAAGGGTCTGTTTGGTTGGGCTTTTTTTTTTCTTTGAAGTTACTGTAGTTGTCAGGCAAAATTATCTTGTTCGTTTGCACAAGTAGAAGGGTAATGTAACTACTGGAAAATCCTAGGTGGGCATCTCCAACAGCTTCTCCAAAATTTTCTCTAAAATGGGGAAGCAAAAGTCATATTCTCCAAATTATTTTTACACCAACTCCAACAGTTTCCCCATTTTTTCTCCTCCATCCCTATTTTGGGGAATGAGATGGGGAATCTGTTGGACAAAAAATCTAACTAAATTCTTCAAAAATGGGAAATGAGGAAGCTGTTGGAGATGCTCTAAGCCCTGTCCAATTCCCCTTCAAAATGGTATGTTTTTGTGGGTATTTACTATAGTTGTCGGGTCCTATTTACTTCCATGTGTTTTGCCAAAAAGAACAAAACAGGCCCTGCTAGAGGATTTGTTTGGCTGCATGATACAAATGAGAACCCACAGTACCATCCTTTCACAAGTTCCTCATTTTTTAAATCATAGCCCGTTTAAATGCTTTGTTTTGAAATAAACTGCTGAAGAAGGTGTTCAGTTTTTGGTTTTAATAAACTTCTTTCGTTTATTTTAATAGAAATGAAAAGTATGGTTCGATTGGAAACCGTAATCATCCTTTCATACTCGTCAAAACTTTTACGATGACCTTTCATGTTTTCTCGCAAAACCCAACAAAAAAAAAGATGATTTCTAACACAAACTTTTCGTTGAGGTCACCACAAATTCCACCATTATTTTGCATAGCCCGTTTCTTTAAAGACGTAGTTGAACTTGAGGTTGAAATTTTTTTCCTACAAAACAGTTTATTTTTTGGACCGACAGATTTCATATTATTTCTAATGAATTCATCGAAACAAACGGTTTCAGTCCAAGAATGAATGCGGTGGAGTTTATATTGGCACAATCGAATTTCGCACATCAATCTCTTATGCCAACTAATATTTGTCATTTATCCTCGTATAGTTATTCCGACCGAGCGATATAAGAGTAAGAAATCTTACCTATGTCATTGTTTTCTTGAATTACGTCTCTTTCAGAAGCTCTGTGTTCTGCATTATTCACTGAATCTCCGATCCTGAAATTCTAACAAAATCATTCTTTTTGAGTACTACAAAAGTATTAGTATTAAATTAAGCTCTTTATCAGTCCAAGTCCAAATCAAATCAGACCAAACAAAATACGCTACTTAATCCCCAGTTACTCTGCAAAATACGCGGAAGTGAGCCCCTCTTCGGCTCTTCCTCTCCCCACTAGAGAAATTTAAAAACATTCAGCAGATAGCAATTATTGCAAGAAAAACCGAGGGGAAAGTTTCACATAAACCCTCGGATTCCCACCCACCCCACCCCCCAACTCCCTTTTTTTTTGCTTTTACATCCTTCTCTATAATCAGCACAAATGAATATTTAATCTATAGAAAAATTCTGTGACAATCATGGACCCACGGGGAAGTAGGTGTCAACCCCTGTGTGCATGCATCCACTGTTCATGAACAGTAGATCATGCACCCAGGGGTTGACACCTCACCTGTCCCCCCTTGGGTCCCATGATTTGGGGTCCCTGTAGAATTATAGGACTGGTATTTCTTCTTCTATCAGAGAGACATATTTATATTGAGATATATACAATATCAATCCTAGTATACTTTCATCACGTTCTTATTGGATACTAGTCAATGAATTAAATTGGTGTACCAAGTTTAAATTTGTGTACACATGCATGCAGTATTCTTTCTAGGCGTGTATAATCATGATTTTGAATTTGTTTTGTATTACATTAGGAGATCATCTATGAATGTACGATGGATGTCGTAGTTTCCATAATATTAAATCATATTTTTTAGAGAATATATATCAAAAACATTATTGATTTAATTTCCATATCCACGAAGGACTTATATATGTTACGTATTTTCCTCGTGTGAAAATGATATTCATTAGACATCAATATATAATCTGCCCCAATCATCTTGGGATATGAAGGAAAAAAGAAAATGAAAAAAGATAGTGATTCTCGAGAATCCAGGGGTCTAGACGCAATTTTCCTAACAGACTATTCAAACGAAATACTACCACTTCACTCTGCAAACAAAAACAATTGAGCTCTGGCTGCTTCAAAACCCAAAAACAAAAGGAATGGGAGGAGTAACGTCGTCAATGGCAGCAAAGCTGGCCTTCTTCCCTCCCAACCCACCGACGTACAACCTTTTAACGGACTCTACAACAGGACTAACGACGTTAAGCCTGTTCCCTCACAGAGAAAACGTGGAGATAATGAAGCTGAGCACGAGACGGGGGACCGAGATCGTTGCTGTTTACGTGAGGAATCCAATGGCGTCGACCACTGTGGTCTATTCTCATGGCAACGCTGCTGATCTTGGCCAGATGTATGAGCTCTTTATTCAGCTCAGCATCCATCTCAGAGTCAACATCATGGGGTAATTGCTTAATTAATTTTATCATCACATTTAAGATTTTTTTTTTGGATGATTAAAATGAGGTTTTAGTGTTATAGTTGAGTCCTTTGATGGTTTTTGGTTGTTGGGTTTTTAGGATTTGATTGTAAATGACTTGGACGGGTGAAATTTGCGAACTTGCAAGAGAATTTACCGCAAACTCAGGCATATAAAGTCTTGTCATAGTAGTTACCAGTTTTACAGGATTTTATCTGTTCAACTTGAGTTCTCGCTTCCTCGGGGAATAAACAAATGATTTTTTTGGGTACAAGTGATGTGAATGACTCGGATGGATGAAATTTGGGACCTTGAAGGGGATCTAATGTTAATAAGACTTTTGGATTTTCATCCGAGTTTTTAGTTTTTTCGGGTTTATAGATTGTAGAAATATGGTTTTGAATTTGGTTTCACATTTACAAAAATAGGGGCTTGTTCAAATGATTGTGAGCTTTGCTCTAATTACCTTCCATAAATTCCTTTGGTGAATAGTTTTCATGTTCATGTGCAATTGGGACTCCTCTTTTAAATGATTGAACAATTGACCTTGAGAACTCTGTAAATATTACAGAACAGCCTTTATATCCTAACGCCCTGAATCTCTCGGTACTGCAGCTTAATGATCTTATGCATACTTGACAGTACAACCAAGTTATAGGATCCTTGAAATAGTTAAACCTTGATATACTAATCTATTGTTTGCTAATTAGACACCATACGTGGATGAAAAAAAAAAAATTGTTCCTAAACAATCGCGATCTGTTTCATGTTCTGCTTTCTCCAAGCATTGACAGACTAATGCAAGTGTAATCTGGTGAACATATCAATAATTTGGTCCAGCACCATATGTGATCTATAGGCTCCGAGATGTGCTTGTTGATGAAAGTTGCTGAAGTTACATCATTAACATTATTTTTCTAAATTACCAATGTAGCCTTTTTCCCACAAAAATTGGCCATTTATGTAGCATGACTCTTGAACCTTGATTGATCACAAGGAGACACACAACGATTGACAGATTGAAAGAACTCTATGACCCTCTATCAATCTATCACCATGACTCAAAATTGGGCCTAGTTCGTATTGTAGGAAATTGTGGGCAAAAGATGCCAAAAAGTGATTACTTTTTTAGAATCTTTCAGGATACCTTTGTGAAGCTGAATTTCTATCAGATGAAAAATAAGAGATATGATTGTTCCAATACTCATCGTGTATTATAGCTTTTTTCTTTTTTTTTTTAATTACTTGTAACGCATTTTAGAACTTATCTTCATCCTTATGCAGATATGATTACTCTGGTTATGGCCAATCCTCTGGAAAGGTTTGTCAATTAATTCTGAACTTGACTAATGTTTATTAGGACATTACATGAGATAATACTTATTCCTCTGCACTTTTGTAGCCAAGTGAACATAATACATATGCTGATATTGAGGCTGCTTATAAGTGCCTCGAAGAAAAATACGGAGCAAAAGAGGAAGACATCATTCTCTATGGTCAATCTGTTGGAAGTGGACCAACTTTAGATCTGGCTACAAGGCTACCTCGGTTACGAGCAATTGTATTGCATAGTCCAATACTTTCAGGATTAAGGGTGATGTATCCTGTGAAGCACACATACTGGTTTGATATCTATAAGGTTAATATTTTCTTTCATTTATTGTTTTTCAATTGTATAGTTTTCCAATTTTAGCATAAATGAATAACAAGTTTGTTATGTTTTTCTTGTTTTTACCAGAACATCGACAAAATTCCTTTGGTCAGTTGTCCTGTCCTAGTAATACATGTAAGTATTGCATGAGGCTAGTGTATTGTACACTGACAATCTTCAGAAAACCAGGCATTCTATTATTGTACAACCAATTCACTCAAAATTCTCTCTCTATTCATTTCCATGTTAATCTTTAGGGCACATCGGATGACGTTGTGGACTGCTCTCACGGCAAACAACTCTGGAGTCTCTGCAAGGAAAAATATGAACCGTTGTGGCTCAAAGGAGGAAACCACTGTAATCTGGAAGTATTCCCTGAATACATTCGACATCTCAAGAAGTTCATATCTGCAGTGGAGAAATCACCTGCTCAGAGGAACCTTTGGAGGAGGAATGCAGACCGGGTAGAACCTTCTAGAAGGAGCACCGACTGTTTCGAAGCTTCTAGAAGGAGCACTGATCGGAGAGAGAAACCTCGGCCAAGTGCAGATAGTAGTAAGATTATCAGAGGTAATGATTTTAGAGTGTTTAATGCATTGAGGCTGGAGAAGCTGAAAATGCCATTGGAGAGAGGGAGGAAGAGTATTGATCGGTTGGATAGAATTAGAGCTAGATAAAGGTTTATTTTCGGTGTAAAAAAATATGAGATTGGTTATGCTGGTTAGTGGGAAAACAAAGAATGCATAGTTGTCGTTGCAAATTTGTTATTTGTTTCAGTTAAGTTTGGACCATTTTGGCAGACTAAATGAGAATTTGCATATTAATGTTGACGAAGTTGTTTCTATGTTGTATGTTTGTCCTGTAGATCTCAGAATTTTGCTCATTCTTTCTTCAGTTTTCATGATAACTAGTTCCCACGTTATCTTGCAACATTTTTTAGATGAATAATTGTGCTAGAAATCCCAAAAGCAAAAGAAGAACCTCCTAATTTTCACTTTCAGAAGGGGGTTATGTGCATTTTTTCTTCTTAATAAAGGTTATGTGCTTCCACCCTTAGAAATTAGATTACTACATGATCAATGATTGAGAACATAAATGAACGTTGACGTTATATCTATACTTCTATATCTATACTACTTATAAAAAAGAATACCCATGTCAAAACTTTTGATTTCCCTTTTTACCCTCTCAATTTTCTCTCTCTCACAATTATACCATTATTTATAAAACTAATGATCCATAACCTCTCATTAACTATGCACCTCTTTATTTTGTCAATTATTTGGTCATTCGCTAGAATATATTAATAATTTATAATGATAACAACATTCATAAATATATGATAATTTATTATAAATAAATATTAATTATATAAAATAGTAAAAGACATTTATTTAATAAATTAGTACACATAATTATAATTATTAATAATAGTATAAATAAGGGTTACTTCTTTATGTTGTAAAGAATATTACCTTGTTCAATAATTAATATCATATTAGTAATAAAAATTTAGATGTAATAAATTAAAAATATTTTTATTTTGGATACTACTTATAAAAAAGAATACTCATGTCAAAACTTTTGATTTCCCTTTTTACCCTCTCAATTTTCTCTCTCTCACAAGTATACAATTATTTATAAAACTAATGATCCATAACCTCTCATTAACTATGCACCTCTTCATTTTGTCAAATTATTTGGTCATTCGCTAGAATATATTAATAATTTATAATGATAACAACATTCATAAATATATGATAATTTATTATAAATAAATATTAATTATATAAAATAGTAAAAGTCATTTATTTAATAAATTAGTGCACATAATTATAATTATTAATAATAGTATAAATAAGGGTTACTTCTTTATGTTGTAAAGAATATTACCTTGTTCAATAATTAATATCATATTAGTAATAAAAATTTAGATGTTATAAATTAAAAATATTTTTATTTTGGAAAATTAATTTATATAAAAATATTTAGATCCATGAAATTTATGAGACATATACTTTTCTCTTTTTTTTCTCAAAATATTTGGTCACTCGCTAGAATATATTAATAATTTATAACAATAATAAAGTCAATAAGTTCATTATAATTTATTTTAATAATTATTAATTGTAATGAAATAGTAAAATTATTTATTTATGAAATATTGTACGTAATTATAATTATTAATAATAGTATAAATAGGTTGTAAGAAATATTGTCCTTTTCGATATTATAATATCATCTTAGTAATAAAAATTTGAAATTATGAATTAAAAATACTTTTATTTAGAAAAGTTACTTTATATAAGGATTTTTAAAATCTATAAGTCATTCACTTTTTGTTGGAAAGTAAATGTCTCATAAATTTAAAGAATCTAATATTTTTATATAAAGTACTTTTCCTAAATAGTATTTTTAATTTATACCATCTAATTTTTTTACTAAGATGATATTAATTATCGAGCAATGTAATATTCTTTACAACATAAAGTCATATAATATTAAAAATTACTACCATTATTTAATAGATATTATAATAAAATATATCCATAACATAAATATTTAATAATATAAATAGTTTAATTATATCAATAGTGTTACTTAAACTGATAATTACATTATTATTTAATAATTATACTCCTAAATAAATTGTTTAATAATATAATAATAAGCTAATTTAAATAACTATTAAATGTGTGTTAATAATAGTATAAGTATTAATTATAGTATAACATAAAAATTTTAATCATAGTGCAATTAAATAACTTTGTAAAATGTTTATATATAATTTATTAAATAATATAGTATTAAATACAACAACATGTCCACATGAAAAGCATCGTGCATCATACTAGCTAGTTTTGACAAATAAGAATATCTAAAAATATAGATATGTGCAGAAAATGCAAGGTAATCCAATCCATTCTATTACATGTTATCTGGATGTGTGAATGTAAATCGAGTATATTTATGATAACACAATAAACTTTTTGATTAGTTATGCATTATATTTGAAGGCTGAACTCATTCTTCTTTAAAATATTAGTCATAATCTATATAAAACCAGTTAATATCCAAATCTAATCCTTGTCTGAATTTGTTTGTTTGTTAGTTTGCTTTTTTTTTTGGTAAAACATAGATACTAAACTAACTACTAAACCAACATATGCTTCCTCATATTTTATATGGTTCTAAATATATTTTTAATGAGTAGGGTGCCTTTTCTTGCTCGTTAAAATAAGACAAATTCATTTTTTTTTGATAAAACCACAAATAAAATTACTTTTTTTTATTTTAATGAGGAAAAATCATGAAAAGGATACTCCATATAGAAAGCCATAGAAAGAAGGATGCTACACGTGTCCAACTGTCCATCATACCATCAACTTTAAATCAGTATATACAGTGTGCAAAATTAATATAAACAGTTAAAATCAACGCAAATAGAATAGTACACTAATATAATATAAATATTTCATAAATCATTATGATCATTGACTTCAAAATGAATCCCCTCTTACTTGTATTACTGTATTGAGTAGATTGCACATAATCCCCTGCATCTATCTCTTTAGTCAGTATTAAACACTTGAATGAGTTGAGGGGTGTTTACTGCAATTGAAGGTATAGAAAAGGGGTTTCTGTGCAATTTACCCTTCCAGAAGATGAAGGAATAAAGAACAAAGTTAAATTCCCAGACTTCTGCGTTAACCCTACGCTATCACTCGATGTCACCTATACTTGTTTGCTCCGCTCTCACCAAGCAACAATCTTGACCTAAATCCTCACCCTCCGCCTCGAAATTCCTCGACCTCTTCCAATGGAGGTACTCCGTTTAATCCTTAATCGCTTCTTTCGTGTAAGTTAATCAATTATTTATGCTTAATTTACTTTTTCTTGTAATCCCTTTTTATTTTAGAAATATTGTGATTTTGCGGCGATGAGACAATTGTAGGGTCAATTGATTGGGTGGCATAGAGAGATTTTGGGAAATGTGTTTAAATTAAGAGATGGGTTTACGAGGCTAGCGTAAGTCACTTTTTCTTTTCTTTTTCTTTTTCTTTTTTTTTTGGGGTGAATTTGGGTTCTTTTTTCATTGTTATATGGGAAGGGTTTGCGAAATTGAGGATTGGTTGCTAACTAGGGCTAGAGGAAGGGGATTGGTTGTATCTCCTTTTGTAATGTATGATTATTGATGTTTGTGTCAAAGTCCCTTACCAATTACACCAAAACTCATGCAGTGGTATCAATTTTTTTAAAATTCCGTGGAGAAATTCATGGACATCAAGATTTGAACGTGGGTGCTCTGATACCATGTCAAAGTCCCCTAATCAATTAAACCAAAACTCGGAAGTTGTGGTGAGGGTTAAGGATAATATTTTTATACTCGCAACAGTTTGCTTGTGAGACTGCAATAGATATAGGAGATTTTGAGACATATTATGAAAAGCTTGTGTCTTTTCGCCACTTAGGCTTGGTTGGCTTGGTTTGGTAGGACTCTGTGGCGGATCTAGGATTTTTAAAAAGCAGTGTCACTATGTAATTAATAATTCAAAATCTTATGACTATCCGCGACAAGTTTTCATATGTTAAAAAAGTACATAATCACATCATTTGTAACGCTACCAATTCATCTTTTTCATATATGTCACTAAATAATCATTGAGGCAATCATCACTAATTTTATTTTGCAACTTGCTCTTTATCAACTTCATTGTAGAAAATGCTTTTCCATAGTTATTATAGTCACAGGTAAAGTCAATTTCATCTTCAAAAGTAAATACACTAAAGAATTAATCTATGCTTTTTGGTCTTCACCATCTTTGTTGGAAGATTGCCTTTCTCATTCAAATTAGCAAATCTTACATCACTATGCACATTAACAAAATGTATATTGCAGTCTTGTGGAGGGGGCAGTGGAAGTGGCAGCAGAGGTGGAGGAAGTGACCTAGCGGCGGAGGAAGAGGCAAGAAGGAGGAACTAGAGGTGAGAGGAGGTGGAGGAAGAGAGCAGAAAGGGATTGTGAGGGGGAAGTTTTTTATTTTTTAGTGGGTGGAATCGTGTGTGGTCTGTAGGATTGACATGGCAGTGGAGTCACCAATTTTTTAAGTGGGGTCATCAAGTATATTTCTAGGGCTGGTTTTTCAATAAGTGAGTTTTTCTTCTTTTGTTATTGAGGGTGAGATACTAGTCCATCCACAACAAAGTGGGGCCACTTGACGCCACTTTGTTGTTAGTGGATCTGCCCATGAGAAGGAGATGCAATGAGTGAAGGTAAGGTGAGATAAGGTTCAATGAGATGCAAGGAAGGATATACCTTCTTTGCTCTTGTTTGGTTCTTTTTTTTCTTTTTTTTTTGGGTGGGTGGGTGGGTGGGGGGTGTTACATGACTTTTTAGTTCATTTTTCATTTTCTCTCACCTTACTCTTATGTCCTTCCAAATTGGAGGGATTTTCTCTCTCTTCATTTTCTAGTTATTTTTTGCGTTTCTCTCTCCTCACTCTACTCTAGTCTACTTCACATTCCCTTCCGCTCTAAAAACCCTCTACCAAAGAGGAGTTCTAGTTTTGTCCTTCACTCTGTAGGATCTGTTACAATGCTCACTAAAACACTAGGGGGGTGAATAGTATTCCTTTTAAAAATTATGCAAAATAGATTTATAAATTGCAATAAAGATAGCAAAATCATAGAGAATCACAATCGCAAACACAGTATTTTATACTGGTTTCACCTCCCCGACGTACATCCAGTCCTCAAGCAAATCCCGTTTGAGAGTTTCACTATGATTTTGAAAAACTTACAAAACCAAACAACAAACCTGACCAATTTGCAAGTCCTTGTAAATTGCACACAATCTCTTCACCAAGAGATTACACCTCTCACACACGTGAGAACACTTGCCTTGTAACAACTCAATTCCTATAAGCCTTGAGTGTGTTGTGATGTGTAGCAATGGCTTAGGAACATTTTGAATCTCTGAAAATTGCCTAATTTGAATGTATATTGAATGATGATCAAAAGCTAACTCAGAGAATGCTTTTTCTCAACACTTAGTGAAAATTTGGAAATTTTAAGTCCTGAGAATGCACAAAACTTGAATCTTATAGATAGGAATCAATGATCCAAATTTCTGAACTTGTAACCTATTTATAGCCCTTGAAAAGATAAGTTTTCAAACTCTAAAAAACATACACAAAACGGCTATAAACAATCACTTTTTCAAAATCTGAAATGTCAGAAAACTGTCTTAGTAGTCGACTAGTAGTCGTTGTAGTCGACTAGTAGTCGTTGTAGTCAACTACTCTGACTTCAAACAACTTCTGTAATTTTAGAATTTTTCTTAGTAGTCGACTACTATAGTCATTAGTCGACTACTCTGTAGATACAAAAAGTCTGGAATTCAAATTTAAAGCTTAGTAGTCGACTATAATTCTTAGTAGTCGACTACTCTGTAAAAGCAGATAATCTGGAATTCTAAATTAGATCTTAGTAGTCGACTATAATGCCTAGTAGTTGACTACTCTGTATTTTTTTACAGAATCTAAGTTTTTATCTAAGTCTTTATTAGTCAACTATAATCAGTTGTAGTCGACTAATCTGTAATATTTTAGAAACTTATATTTTGATCTACGATTTCAGTAGTCGACTACTAATCTAATTAGTCGACTACTAAGGGGTAAAAAAGTTATGTATGAAATATTTTTAGACTCATTGATTAACTAAATACTCTAATGGTTAACATATGGGATTTTTATTGTTAACCAACACACTAAACCTGTGTTAGTGTGTTCTAATCTCTGTGTGTGTATGTGTGAGTAATCAAGGCTTGTACAAATTTTTTAAGTAAAGAAAATATAAAAATTACATTGATATATAAGCTCTTCATCTTCTTTACTTTATGATGCATTAAACTCATCTTGCACTTGTTCATGTTGATAGCTGCATTGAAATGTTAGTACACAATAATACACATAGTGATTCATATTATGAATAAATTGTTATCATCAAAATTATATTATGGGGACATGATATCCAACATTCTTTACTTTTTTATGATGACAAACAATTTATGCATATGTAAGTATATTCTAAAAGAATTAAACATTTATGAATAAATATACTTACTCCCCCTGCATAAAAGCATATTAGAGTCTACAATTCATATTTTTGAGTCTATATAACATAGATACCATTCTCCCCCTTTGTCATTAACAAAAAGAAATAAACATCTATTCTAAGCATGTCATAATATCCTCTTCATGAGCCAATACTTTAAAAAGATCTTCCAGATTGTGAACATAGTCTATTACTTCACCCATCCATATGAGTAGGCAAAGACTGACCATAAATACCAAAATTTTAACAATATCCATCTTCACAATCTGTTTTTTAAGATAAGTAGCTCATGAACAAACTATAGGATATAAACAAAACAACCATAATAATAAGAAACAGACATGCATACATAGTTTTTAAACATGTAAACAGAAACATACATAAGTCTTAAACAAACATCAACACAGTTTTTGACATAATTTAGACAAACAAACATACGAAATACTTAATTGTTTTTGTCAACACAAACTGAAACTGTTCTAAATAATTCATGCATGGTCTTCTAATTGGATGGTCCTGATGGAGGTTGATTTTCTTAGAAATAGGCACTGAGCTTCATATCTAATGTGTCAATCTTCATGCTCATTGTGTCAAACTTCATCTCCAGGATATCAAACTTGTTTGTTAATGCCTGCTCATTGTGTCAAACTTCATCTCCAGGATATCAAACTTGTTTGTTAATGCCTCTTGATTCTTCAGCACAAGTACATTTTGGTCATACAATGCTTTGTTTGTTAATGCCTCTTGATTCTTCAGCACAAGTACATTTTGGTCATACAATGCTTTTTGTCCAGATTCAATATCAAGTATTCTTGCGGACAAAGTATTGTATTGTGCATCAGAAAAACAAGAGGGTTCATTCATTGGTGGGAAAAAGTGGCTAGTTGATGGTCCACCTTCATGTGAGGCTTGAGGAATGTCTTGGGGCAAAGGTTCTTGTGTAGTGGGTGGTTCATCTTGTGGATTTTGTTCATGTAGTTCAAAATTGGTTAATTTCATCCTAATTAGGGCATTGGAATCAAAGAATTCAACAGTACGAACCATTGAATTTTTAGTATCAAGATCAACATGAAATTTTTTAAAAATCTTGGTTAGAAATGCTCCAAATGGAAGAAACCCTCTAGGAATGACTACAAGATAATCACAACAGACTTCAGCCCAATTAACTTGAATATTTGCCATTATGACATATAGGGCTTTAGCTAAGTCCAGTGAAAGGAAATGGAAACTCCCTATTTTAGGAAACATATTGTATGCTAAGATTCTAGTAATGAAACGAGGAATTAGTCTTAATTTATTTGAATGATTCAGTGGTAAACCATGACCCGAAAGAAAAATTAGATTTTGAAGTACATTTTCATCTCTCATTTTGATATTACGAAGAGGAACACCTTGATATGGGATATTGAATATTTTTTCTATGGTTCTAGAAGTCAAATTGATCTCAATACCCTTAACAAGAGTGTTAATCTTTTTAGTTTTGTCAATTGTTTCAATACGAGTAAGATTGGTATAAAACAATTGAACTAACAGTGGATAATGAGGCTTCTTATTTTCTGATGAAAATAACTCAAGAAGTCCACCATTTTTAAAGTAAGAACTGAAATTATGAGTTATAAATTCATCAAATTTCACAAATCTACCAGGTAAGATTTTTAAATTTGAGAAAGATTTGAAACGTTGAATCAAGGAAGGATCTTTCAAATAAACATTGTAATCCTCAATAATATTTGTAGGTCCTAA